TGATGCTGCTTGGCCTGCTGTGTTCATCCAGCTCTACACCTTGTCATATCAGCAATTAAAGGTAAACAGGATTTGGACTGTGTGCTACGAACACCTGACTACACCAGAGTTTAACAGTTTTAGTACAATACACATCTCCAAGAGCACATGCATTTGATTGCATTTATAAATGCAATCATTTCCCACATAGTAAATACAAGTAGCTTTTATTTTTAACATGCTATAGTCAGCTGTTGCTGTAATTTTTAAATTGAGACCTGCTACTAGTAATAAAAAAAACTAAGATTTTCATTTATGTTATTCACCAGCACCCGATGTGTCAAAGTACTTGGAAGTTAATGAAGTACTTTTTTGGATGTGTAGTCACTGCTGTAATGTAGAAGGACAGCAGCCAATTTCCACACAACAAACTCCAACCAACAACAACATGATCATGACTAGACACTCTATTCCATGATGATAACTGAGAGATAAATACTGACCTGGATACTAAAATGCTTCTCTGTGAATTACATCCATCCTGAAGAAGGCAGTCAAGGTCTCTGTTGGACATCTCATTATAAAACTGCACCTCTGACAGTGCTGCACTTCTCCAGTACTGCACTGGAACAGTCAGCCTGGAATTTTATGCTCGAGCCTCAGAGTGGGACTTGATCCCGACATGTTGTGACTCAACGTGGAGAGTGTGAACAACTTGTCCTTGCTTTCCATCCTATCAGCCTCTGCATTCAAAGGATCATCCTCCACCATTTCCACCACCTCCAGCAGGATGCCACCATTGAACAAACTTTCCCTCACCTTCACTGTCAGCATTTCCACAGAGACCATTCCCTCCACGACACCTTGGTCCACTCCTAACACTCCCTCGTCGCCGACCCTCACGCCCCATCACAGAAAGTGTAACATTTGCCCAGCTTCCACCTCCGTCCTCATTGTGCAAGGCCCCAAACACATCTTCCAGGTGAAGTTTACTTGAACTTCTTTCAATCCAGTCTACCATATACACTGTTCACAAAGTGTTTTCCTTTACATTCGTAAAGCCAAATGTAGGCTGGGTGACCACCTTACAGAACATTTCCACTCTGTCTGTAGGAATGACCACGGTCTTCTAGTTGTTTGCCATTTCAATACTGCACTTTTCACTGATGCTAACAATTCCATTCTGATGTAGTGTTGCAACAAAGGTCTACAAAAGCTGGAACAACAATATCTCAATTTCCAGTTGGGTACTTTACAGTGTCTAGGACTCAATAGCAAATTCCACAGAGTATGAACTATGCCCTCCATTGTCTTACATCCAACCCTCGGATGACCTTGTCTTGACTTTACTCTCAACAGAGTGGAGCCATTTGCTTCCTTTCATCTTATTTTATCTCCCTATCACCACTACTCTCACCACCTTTGTCTTTTGCTCCAGGCACCTCACAATCCGTTCCACTTGCTCCTCCTTGCCTTCTATCTACAGCATAAATAACCACCATTTTTCCAATCCCTTACAATGCTGAAGAACTGTCATATCTGAATCAAAACATTAACTCTACAAACAATGAACTTGAGTAGGCTATTCGGCCCTTCAAGCCTGCACAGCCATTCAACGAGATCATGGCTGATCTGATTTTAACCTCATCTCCACATTACTGCATTTCTGCTGATAATCTTTCAGTCCCTTGGTAATCAAGAAATTACCTACCTCTGCCTTAAAAATATTTAAGGATTCTGCATCCACTGCCCTTAGAATTCTAAGGACTCACAACCCTCTGAGATAAGAAAAGTTTCCTTATCTCTGTCTTAAATGGGTTTCCCCTTATTTTTAAACTATGACCCTAATTCTAGAGTCTCCCACAAAAGGAAACATCCTTTCAGCATCCACCTGGTCAAGTTCCCTCAGGATCAATTCTGTTTCTCTTTCCTTAGATGCTACCAGACTTGCTGAGTTTCTCCAGCACTTTATGTTTTTAATTTAAGAAGGAAAAGACCCTTTTTCAATAAAACTGCCCCAAGTTTCAGTATTGTGACCAGCCATATGAAGGAAACAGTGGGTCTCACCGAGAGCAGGGACCAACGAGGAATGGACTTGTCCAAACCGTGTGGTCATCTGGTTTGTCAACACCACCTGAAAGAAGAGGAGAGAGGGCTCACGTTAATGCTGAGCTGCGAGGCTGTCATAAGGAGAAACTAAAAACTTGCAGCAGAAAGAAGGAGCACAACGCTCCTCGAATGAACTGTAAAGCAGCTTTAGTCATTGGAATAACCAGGCATTGGAACTTGATTTGATTTTAGGAGCCATTCCAGCAGAATGCCGAAATAAATTATTGGAGAACATTCTAATTCTGTAAAAGGGCAGAGGCCAGTCCTGTCCCAGAGCTGGGTCCTGTTCCAAAGCACAGTCCAGTCTAGCCCATCCCATCCCAGTTCCAAAG